CAAATAAATAAAATCTTAAAAAAAAAAAAACTTTTAAAAATTTAAAAAAAAAGAAATAAAAGAGGAAATTGGAAAATACATGGAGACAAATGAAAATGAAAACACAATGGTCCAAAATCTTTGGGATGCAGCAAAAGCTGTTCTAAGGGAGAAATTTATAGCAAGACAGGCCTACCTCAAGAAGCCAGAAAAATCTCAAATAAATGACCTAACCTTGCATCTACAGGAGCTAGAAAAAAGAACAAACAAAACCCAAAACCAGTAGAAGGAAGGAAATAATTAATATTAGAGCAGAAATAAATAGAAACTAAAAAACCAATAAAACAGATCAATGAAACCAGGAGCTGGTTCTTTGAGAAGATCACTAAAACCAATAAACCTTTAAGCCAGACTCACCAAGAAAAAAAGGGAGGGATTCAAATAAAATCAGAAATGAAAGAGGAGAAATAACTGACCCCACAGAAATACAAAGAATGATAAGAGAACAGTATGAAAAATTATATGCCAACAAACTGGACAAACTAGAAGAAATAGATAAATTCCTAAAACATATAACCTTCCAAAACGGAATCAGGAAGAAATAGAAAACTTGAACAGACTGATTATTATCAATTAAATTGAATCAGTAATCAAAAGATTCCCAATAAAAGTCCAGGACCAGACAGCTTTACAGGTGAATCCTACCAGACATTTAAAGAAGAATTAATGCCTATTCTTCTCAAACTAATCCAAAAAATAGAAGAGGAAAAATAGAATTACCCAGCAATTCTACTAGGTATTTACCCAGAGGAAATGAAAACACTAATTCAAAAAGAAACACACACCCCGATGTTCACTGTAGCATTATTTACAATAGCCAAATTATGGAAGCAGTCCCCGTGTCCATCGACAGACTAATGGATAAAGAAGATGTGACATACACACAACAGAATATTACTCAGCTATAAAAAAGAATGAAATCTTGTTATTTGCAACAACATCGATGGATCTAGAGAGTATAATGCTAAGTCAAATCAGTCAGAGAAAGACAAATACCATATCATTTCACTCACATGTGGAATTTAAGAAACCAAACAAATGGACAAAGAGACAAACCAAAAAAAAGACTCTACATTATAGAGAACAAACTGATGGTTTTCAGAGGGAAGGGGGTGGGGGAATGGATGAAGTAGGTGAAGGGGATTAAGAGCACACTTATCTTGATGAGCACTGAGTAATGTACAGAATTGTTGAATTACTATGTTGTACACCTGAAACTAATATAACTCTGTATGTTACCTATACTGGAATTTAAAAGAATTATCTCAATATGCACCTTAAAACATTGTGCATAAAAAGGTAGACAAGACAAAAATCCCTTGAGGAGTTCACCCACCACTGGGGCTGGGGTTGAGCACAGATGAGTTAACAGCCCTAAATACTTGCTGTAAGTGCCGGGCTAAGAGATGGACGTGCAGGGAAGCAGAGAGAGACTCCGGTTTAGGAGGTCCGGGGACACTGGAGAAAATGACACCTGAGCGAGGCTTGAAGCATGAACTTTCCAGGTGAAGACCAGTAAAGGTGCTCCAGGGTAGAAGAAACAGCAGGTGCAAGGACATGGAGAGATGACAGAAAGCATATATTCTGGAACAGGGTTTGGGTGGTTAGGCTGCAGGCAGGAGATGGGCTGGAGCCAGGGGACAGACCTGGAAGGACCTTATATGGCCTGCTAAGGAGCCACTAGAGTGACGTTAATCAGAAGAGAGACAAGAATAGACCTGTGTTCTAGAAACTGACCCAGTGAGGGGGCTATTGTGAGGGTGGGGCGGTGGAGATAGAGACAGGCTTTTAAACAAACATGGCACACATTATTTACCACATTTGGAATCCATGCTCTCAAGAAGAAAGTTACATTATCCAGGCACCTGGGGGGCTCAGTCGGGTAAGCATCTGCCTTCGGCTCAGGTCATGATCCCAGGGTCCTGGGATCGAGCCCCGCATCGGGCTCCCTGCTCAGCAGGGAGCCTGCTTCTCCCTCTCCCTCTGCCCCTCTCACCCCTGCTTGTGCTCTCTCTTTCTCTCTCTCAAATAAATAAATAAAATCTAAAAAGAAAAAGAAGAAGAAATAAGGTACATTATCAAGAGGTTTAGAAGGGGTCTTAAGCTCGTGTCCAAGTTCAGGAAGGCTTCCTGGGAGAAGTCATGCTTACCTCAGACCTGAAAGACCAGGGGGCGTTCCCCAGGGAGAAGAGAGAGAGGAGAGCGTTCCAGATGCGGGGTCAAATGTCAAAAAGCCACAGCCGCCCGGGGACGCGGGAGCCCCAGTGTGGTCGGGTGCAGGAACAGGGCCCACGCAGAAGGCAAAATGAAAAGGAAACTGGGGCGGCCCCTGCCCCCACATGGCAGCGGGAGCGTCTAAGGCAAGGGGAGCGGGTCTAAAGGAGGGAGCCCCCCGTCAGAGGTGTCACGTTCTGGGGGAGACGGATTCTCATTGCATCGTCTTTCGTCAGTCCTTGAGCTGTTCTCTCTGCTGCTCGGTGCCCCCCGCATGTGGTCCCACCCTTTGCTGGCCAGCTTGCTCTCTCTCTTTGCCCACTCGGCTTGTGTCACCGATAGTCTCTGTGCCACGCTACCGGCGGCGTCCTTGCCCTTGGGAGGCTTACGGAGCTCGGAGTTCTGATGGTGATCCACCCGGACACCCTGGCTCCGACACACAGGGCCCAAACCTCACTTCCGGGGAAAGGTGACTTCCCGGAGCACAGCATCACCCTAGGCTTTTCTCCCCAGCTTATGATCACTTGACTTCTGTTTCCTTGCCTTCCATTCCTGCATCCAGCAAATAGGTATTGAGCACTGACTGCATACAAGGTACTGCTCCTGGTACAGAACAGCCACTGGCATTTTCACTCGGCCGGCCCTCTCTTCCCTACTTCAGCCTGACCAATGGAAGCCTCCGTTGGCCCCAACCACATCACCTGCTTTGTTCTGCCCGGGGGGCAGGGAACAAAAGAACAAACTGGAGCCCTGGACACACCTGGGACAGAGCAGGGTTTTCAGAAACCTAGTTGAGAGCGCACCATTGGTTTGCTGTTGGTTAATGAGCTGGCACACGGGGAGGGAGACGGCCCGCTAGCTGCCCTGCATTCATTCGCTCCCTCCCTCACTCATTTGTTCATTCGCTGTGTCTTAAATATGTACTATATACTAGCCATTGCACTCAGTACGGGTATCCCCCACTTTTCAAAAGTTTGCCTTTATGAAAGACCTGTTTTCACTAACTGGAAGAAATTTGGAGGATTTTCACTTTTAGGAAAAAAGGTGAAAAGCAAAACCAGCATCCAGCGTTAGTTTTGCCGTCACGGAGCAGTGGACCCCGAGCAGTGAGTGTGGCCCCACCAAGCTCCTTCCCCAGGATGACGCTCAGCATTTTCACATCAAGCCACTACAGCTTTGAACCGCATCTGTGAGCGTCCGTGCTCCATCTCGATTTATGTGTGCATCCGTTAGCAAGAGGTGTCCTGGGGGATCAGAAACGCCCGAGAGAAGAGCCCAAAATAGGGGGTCTGGGAATGTTCAAAAAATTTCCCATATTAACTAACGGTGACTGCTTCTTCAGTTTATGCCATTTTGGCTGATGAAAGTTTTCGTAGAAACTCTCTAATTTGGACAGCAGGGGAACCTGTACTGGGAATATAAAGATCAAGGGTGTCCCTCAAAGAATTCACACTCCAGTGAGGGCAGGCAGACAAAAATCCATTAAAATACTATGTGGCAAGTTCCCCAAAGGAGGGAAGCACAGGACAGGATGGGAACACAGAGCAGAGGCCCCCCAGCTCAGCCCAAGAAAGGACCGGAAGCGGCTTCATGGAGGAGGCAATTCCTGAAAAGTTGACAGATGAGCAGATGTTAGCAGGGAGAGAAGATGCGAGAAACATTTCAGGTGAAGGTTCAACGTCAGACAGTGTGTGGCCTGATGACAGAACAGCAAGGTCAAGGATAATGGATAGGGTGTTAGAAGGAGAGTGATGAGAGATGAAGGCAGAATCACAGAAGCGTCTGGCCACGTCAGGTGATCTGAACTTTACCCTGCGGGTGATAAGGGGCCAATGGCGGATGTTCAGCAAGGGGGTAGATAACCAGATCTGCGTATAAGGAGGACCTCTGTGGAAGCCAGGTGGAGAAAGGCACGGCAGGGATGCCAGCCAGGAGGCTGCCGCATTAGTCTGGGTGTGAAGTGACCTGTGCTAGACTATCACTGTGGCCATGGAGAAGGTTCCAGAATGATCAGGCAGTAGCCTCTAGGACTTGGCACAGGTGGCAGAGTTGAGGGAGAGACAGAAGGAGGAGGAGCTTAGGAAGAGCCCATGCTGGGGTAGCTGGGTGGAAGAAGAGAACTGTGGGGTGCTGCCTACCCCTGTGGGGAGCCCGGTCTCGTGGATCGACTGCAGGGAGACCAGTAGCTTCCCTTTCTCCACCTGGGCTCCTCAGGTGGCATCCTCAGCACCTCCCATCTCCTGTCACCTTCCATTCCGGTGGCACCGGTACCACTCACCCCGTGCCCAGGGCCCTTCAGACTCACCAGTTGCAGGGACTGTACTGACGGGGCTTTCTTCACTCTGGGGGTGCTGGTGTGTGACGCCAGGCCAGGCGCAGGGGACTGCAGCTGCTCCACACTATAGCTGCGGGCCTTGCCCAGCTTGGGCCTGGTGCTGTGGCCCAGCGCCAGCAAGAGCTTTTTCAGCCCCAGGGTGGAGGCCAGGCTGCTGCTTTTCTTGCTCCTGTCAGAAGGGGCAGCGGAGGGCAGGCCAGGTCCTGCGCCGACCCCCGGGAATGCCCTGAAATGCAAGGGGGTACATGAAGCAGGCAGGAGACAGCTGGGGGGCAGGGGCCTGGGTGGACTGCTCCTCAGGGCCCTGGGGGCCCCAGGAGAGCCAGCACCCATTGCTTGTGGAGGACGTGAAGGCCGGCTACAGAAAGGCTGAGAGGACATCTGCAGGATGCTCTGCTTGGGCAGCTTTTCGGGAGACGCGCTCAGACAAGACCCTGGGCCTCACACCCAACTGTGGGCTCACCCACCCATTCATTCCATTCATTCATTCAGGATTTCTTCCGGGCCTCTGTGCCTTCTAGAAACAACAGGGGTCTGTGGTACACAAGACAGACAAGGTCCTTACTCTCAGACTAGTAAACGAAGGAGAAAAACCAACAGCAAGTATTGAGAAATGTCAGGCAGAGAGAGAGGGAGGCCAGCTCCCTCCGAGAAGATGGTGCCCAGGCTGGGAGCTGAATGGTAAGGGTGACCTGTCCTGTGAGGCCGGAGGTGAGAACCCCGGGCGGAGGCAGCGGTGGGGCCACAGCTCCAGGGCAGGAAGAGGCTCCGTGCGTTCCAGAGAACAACGGGGCCCGGCCACCAGCCCTGGGACGGAGCCAAGCAAGGCAGGCAGAGAGGCCAGGCAGGTGGGCCAGATTCCACGGAGCACAGAAGCCAAGGTAAGGGGCTCGGATTCTATCCCAAGTGGGAGAAGAAAACCACTGGGGGTTTTCAGCAGGAGACATGACATTATTTAATGGCAGTTTCAAGACTGTACCTTCAGTCGCTGTGCCAAGAAGGAAGTGTAGGAGCGAGAGTGAAGGCAGAGAGCCGCTGGGGCTGTTGGGGTTGTCAGAAAGATGTCATGCAGCTCAGGACCAGGAGAAAGGCGAGAGAGGGGGGTGCAGCAGCTGGAGGGGACATGCCAGTGGGTCAGAGAGGCTGGAAGGAAGAGAGTGGGCGTGAGCACCGTGTGGATGGTGGATGGTGCCGGGAAGAGGACCTGGGGAAGCCATTGGGTGAGGGGCCTCTCAGCCACCCTAGTGGAGATGTCAGGGGAAACAAGGTGTATGGGTCTGGGGTTCTGGGGAGCACACAGGGCCAGAGATGGAGATTTGGCTCTCGGTGTCACCAGGAGTGGGGTGTGGTGCAGGAAAGAACGTCGTGGCCACAGCCCTGGCTCACCAAGGCTTTGGGGACTCGGCGAGAACTCAGACCCTCGGCGCGGAAGGAGAGAATGAATGGAAAGGTGAACGCCAGGCTTGTTTCCTCAGCATCTGCTTGTTTCCAAGCCCTGAGTCAGAAACAAGCGCTCTCAGGCAGCCCCATCCTGGGAGCACCCTGAGGGTCGGGACTGTCTGGCCAGCTGTGCCCAGCACAGTACCTGAAGCCTGAGGCTTGGGGAATGAGTGAGCATGCGCATCACACTAAAAGTGGCTGGGAAAGGAGTATTAAGGTGCCATGCCTGGAATAACTCTAGGAACCCTCTAAGGGTTTGGGAGTAGTGAGGCTAGTCATGCCAGGGAGGAGGTCTCTTTCTCCGCCCAGCTCCCCAGCCCCCCACCTCTGGCAGTCAGGGCTCTTGCCCCCATCACTCACCGGGATGACACCTGCCCTCCGGAACTCAACTCTGGCCTCTGCAGGCCTCCCTCTGGTTCCTGGCTGGACTCCGACTCCTCTAAGGCCAGGGAGAGGGTGATGCTCATGGAGCTGACTGCGCCAACAGCTGCTGGGCCAAGAAAGCCCTGGACTCCTCCTGCAACAGCCACAGCCCTCCCGTGTCACTGAGCCATCCCTGCAGGTCATGGTCAGGGGAGGGGACATGCCCAACAATGGAGGCAGGAGAACCAGAGGAAGCTGGAGAGAGGTGGGAGCCCCAGGAGAGCAGTGGAGGCAGTGATGAGACCCCACACAGCAGGACGGGAATGAGGGGTCTTGTTTACTGCTGTAACCCACCACCCCCAGAACCGCAACTGGTACACAGTCGGTGATTAATAAATGTCTGTACAATGAAGGGGCTGCTGGTCATAAGGCATGTGCCTCCTTTAATAAGAGACATAGTTGGGAAAGGGGAACTTTTGCATTCCTGGGATGCAAACCACAATCTCATTGGTTGTGATGTCTAAGCTTTAATGACAGGCACCATTTCGGGAGCACGTACGCGGTGCTCGGCAAGGAATTAAACCCTCTACAGAGATGACATCCTGGGTTCCTAGGAGATAGGCTCTCCTATTTCCCTAGGTTACAGAGGAGGAACCCGGAGCACAGAGGGCTGACATGGTGTGGCCAGGACCTCCTGGTTAATGAGAGGAGGCGTCTGAGGAGGTGAAGGCCAGGCTGCCCAGAAAGAATAGAAGCTTCTCAGGAAGTGGCTAGGGGCAGCCAGCAGCCGGCCTAGAGCCAACCCCACGGAAGAAACCGCACCTTAGAACTGGACAGGCAGCAGGCAGCTCAGGGTAGTGCCTGCTTTCTTAAGTCTCCTGTCAGCAAGGGAGGGAGAGGGGAAAATGTCTGTGTCCCCGTGTGGAGCAGAGGGGGTGGTCAACACCCCGGGGGAGGGTGCTTGGCATCCACATCTTCAGGAAGGTCAGCCTGGTCTACCAGCTCTCTGCCCTCCTCCACTGTGTTTCCAAGCCCTGGATCCCTCCCAAGCCACCCCAACCCCAGGACTGTCACAGTTGTGGACACACTAAGGCACGGCTCTGGGGGGGCAGGCCTGTTATCTCTGCCTAAGAGTAAATGGCTGAGTTGCTCACCCCAGATCACAGCACCAAGAATCAGAGCCTATGACTGCTGATGCCCAGGATCGGCCCACAATATAAGGATCTCTTCCAAGGGCAGAGGTGATGCCCTACACCCTTTTGCAGCCCTTCCTGCTGAAACCTAGGAGCCTGCCCAGGAGGGCTGGGGGTCTGGGAGGGCTCTGCCCGCTGGTCACCATGTTCTCCAGATAGCATGTCTGCCTGGCCACAGAAGGTCTCAAGGGCAGGACTCCCGCTGAATTCATTCACTTATGCATTCCCCACAGTGCCTGGTATCATGCCTGGCATGTAACAGGTGCTCAATCAGTGTTGAAGGAATGAATGAGGGAATGAATGAAATTAAGATGTTGAAGGAAAGGGCCTCAACCATGTGATTATAGGCACTGACTGCTCTAAACAAATAGTAAATCTACAGCTGTGGCATCCTTCCTGCTCGTTGGTAGTGAAACTCCCTTAAAGTCCAGGCCTCCAGCAGCCAGAGTGTGGTGCGTCTGTACTAAGCTCAGGGTCCCCCGCAGTTAGAGGGCGTCACCCCCTGCCTCCCCTCGCAGGAGGTGGCTAATCTGCATCCAGGCTGACATTGAGTCTTACACCTAACCCACAGACCCCATAGCTTCCGGAACACCTGCCGCTGCTCTGAAGGCGCCAAGAGGCTGCTGGGAGTGCGCACAGCTATGTCATCGATTCAGATCGAAGGTAAGGAAGGACTCAAGAGCGCCTGGCCTGGGGTCTCTGCTTACCGTGGTCGCAGTTCTCCAGGGGCAGCTCCGGGCTGCAGGGGTCATCCTCCACCTTGGCCTCGAGGCCGGCCCCTCCCCAGGGCTCCTGCAGCCCCGGAGGCAGGCTATTGTTGCAGTTGTTGGTGGACAGGGCCAGCAGGGGATGCCTGCCTGCAGGGCCGTAGGGCTGGGTCTGGGCAGGGGACAGCTCACAGGTCCTGGGAACTACACTTCTTGAAGAAGGCGGAGGGGGGTCCACAGGCTCTCCCTGCCTACCCAGCCTGCGGGGTCCAGCCAGGGCTGCCTTCCTGTGAGACACAGGTGAGGTGGTTTTCCTTGAAGACGGAGGGGTTGGCACCCAGCCTTCGGGGGAGAGGGAAGAGGTCACCTGCTGGGCCTGGTGCAGGGCAGAGGGCTCTGGGTGACTCTGTTGCAGGGAGGAAGCAGAGACAGTCTCCAGAGACTCATGGCTTCCTCCATCCTGGGTTTGTCTGCCTGGCACTGAGGACCCCAGCTTCATGGAAGAGGCCAGGGGATAGGCTGTCCTGCTCAGAGCCCGGGAATCCACCGGGTGGACCCAGTGATTTCCCAGCCCTGGGCCAGGCTGCCACTGGGAGCCCAGGGAAGCCCTTTTACATTCCAGGACGGGAGGCTTAGGGAAAGCATCTTCTCTGGGAAACAGAGTCCCCTCAGGCAGGTGTCCCCTGCCTTCTTTCACCTCGGCTGCACCCTCCACGTGATCAACCCCCAGCAGGTAGTGCGGGGCCTGAGCGCTCCGGGGCAGCTCCGATTCGGCCTTCCGGAACCATCTGGGGCCTCCTCGAGGCCTGGAGCCCCGCGGACGGGGGCTGTTGCCTCGGGCCGGGCCCCGAGGCCTGCTGGGCTGCGAGGTCCCAGCCTCCTCACTGTCGGTCCTGCAGCTGTCCGAGGTGTCCGTGCTGTCCAGTGCGGAGTCCGCCTCCTCGGGGCGCGCCGAGTCTCCGATGTGCGTTTCCCGGATCCATTCCGTGTGGCACCCCTGCTCGGCAGAGAGGAGCTGGAAGGGGGGGCTCGGGCCCCGAGAGCTGAGGGGCTCCGCCGGCACCCCGCAGGCAGCTTCGCGCTCCGGGAGGGCCCTGGGGTCCGGGCCGGCCTTCCCTGGGGCGGGGCGTTGGTCGTGGATGCAGCTGCCGCAGGCTTGGCACTTCCTGGCGCTGCCCCGCGCGGGCGACGGCGCCGGTCCGCCCCTCCGCTCCAGCCGGCCCACCAGGCGGTAGAGCGGCCCTTGGCCGGCGTCGGTGCGCGCGAAGCCCGCGTTGATGTAGTGGGCCAGGTCGGGCTTGGAGCGCAGCGGGCCCTGAGCCGCCGTCGGCAGCGCGCTGCTCCGCGCCTGGCGCTGGCGCTGCTGCAGCCGCTCCAGATAGCGGGACTCGGCGTCGCGGGCTGACTCGTCCTCGAAGCGCACGCGGGACGGGGAGGCGCCCCGCTTCGGCCACTGCCCGCTGCTGGACTCCCCGCTGGACGAGTCACTCGTGTTCCCGTTCTGCGGGGTGTCTCTGCAGGCAAAAGGCATCCTCGAGTCCGGGGCTGGGCTTCTCCGGCCGTCTCTGAGGGGCAGACGGGGGGGGGGGGGGGGGAGACAGGTCACAGGCAGAAGATGGGGAGGAGGGTACCATGGGGTACAGCTCCGTGATGGCTACAACTCCAAAGTTACCCGACAGCAGCTTCCTGGGGAGTCAGGCAGCAAACCCGAGTAGCTTCCAAGCCCATCTTGATCCTGAGACCCAGCTCTAAACAAAATCAGTAGGAGCTTCCTATTTTGGCTTTCCTTCTGTTGCCTGATTCAAGATGAAACATTATATTGAACAGAGGATGTACCGATGGATAAGAGCAAAATCCTCATAGTGGGGTGTGTGCGTGCGTGTGTGTGTGTATGTGTAAGTGTGTGCGCACTTAAGAGGAAGTGAGCCTGGCATTCATGGGCATCTGGCAGGGATGAATTGTTCCAATGATGTATTTGCTCTGCAGGTTTAATGGGAAGAATGAATTATAAGTCTCTACAGAGACTGTGCGGGACCCGAAGTCAGGGTTTCTAAGCATTCTTGCTCCCAAAAGTGTCCACTCAGGGTTCCTAATCCTCTTGCTCAGACAAAATTCAGACAGAATGCCACCCACGTTTCTCCCTGGACTCTGCATCTTGTCTGTTCCAGCACCCCCCACCTGCCCTCCTCAGCCCGTCACTCACACTCTGAAAAGCTGTGAGGACAGGGACTGTGCTAGGAAGAGTCGTCCTGTCACTGGTCTTTGCTCTGGGAGACACTGCCGGTGGTCAAGTCCTGCTCAGCTCAAGAAAACACCTACATAAATCTCACGCCAGGGCCCCCCGGAGCCAGGAACCTGAGTTTCCAGGCATCTCCCATCACAGGCTACCTATGGAAGGACCGTACGTTCCCTTCCTTTTCCCTGCAGCAGTGTCCCCATCAGTCTACTGCTCAGTGTTTGGCATTCACACCATTCTTCTCATTTATCGCTTCTCTGTCACTCACACTGGACTCCCGCTTCTTACCCAGCCTCCCTGCCTCCTGTCTGCTGGTCCTCCTGGAGCACAGCCTTGTCACACTGTCCCCTAAGGGGGCACAGGACCCAGCTCACAGTCTTTGTGGTAAAAACACAGGCCCTCCACCTTCCTCACTGTTTTCCTCCCCAGCTCTGCACCCCCACCACCCACTTTATAGGGCCCCCAGGCTTCCTACCTCATCCACCTCATGCAGCCCTCTCGCCCCATTTCCTGGAGTCTTTTTTTCTTAACCTGCCTGCATTTGAATCCTATCTGTTAAAATGTTACCGTTGTATAGACAGCCCATGTGTGATGGCTGATTTTGTGTGTCAGCTCGACTGGTACCACGGTGCCCAGCTACTTGGTGAAACATTCTTCTGGATGTTTTTGTGAAGACATTTTTTGGGTAAGGTTAACATTTAGATGAGTGGACTTTGAATAAGGCTGATTACCCTCCACGATGTGGTTGACCTCATTCAGTCCGTGAAGGCCTTAACAGCACAAATACAGATCTTCCCTGAGCAAGAAGGAATTCTGCCAACAGACCGCCTTTAGATTTGAGTTGCTCCTCTTTCCTGAGTCTGAATCCTGCCAGCCTACCCTGCAGATTTTGGGCTTACCATGCCATGATCACATGAGTCAAGTCCTTAAAATAAATCTCTCTCTCTGTCTCCATACATATGTATGAGCGCGCGCGCGCACACACACACACACACACACACGCTGTTGGTTCTTCCTCTGAAGAAACCTGACTAATGCACTGTGACAATATCTCCTCCTCTGAACACCTGTACCACTCATTTGTCATCACAGACTCACAGGATGTTAGTGCTGGAAGGCAGGGCCATGACCACGTGGTCCCTCCTCATTCCTAGAAAGGAGAGGCCACACAAGCCCAGCTCCCAGGCTGACCAGCACCTGAGCAGCCGCAAAGGCAAGCTGTGGATGTTTTTTCTCCCTCAGGTGGAACCACAAAAATAGAACTAGACACTGACCATGCTGGTGGTCTAGTCCTACCTGGAGACAGGAGCCCGGATTTTGGAGACTTGCGGCTTCTTTCTGATTGCCCAGAAGTGCGCCCATATACGCAAGTATCTATACTGGTATACTTCATGGGTTACGTTACTGGTTTTAGTCCTCAAAGTGTCTTCGAAGCCTTCCCTAACCTTACCTTCTTCCTCACCACCCCCCATCTCCCCAAACAGAGAAGTAAACTTCTCCAATAGCATACTGTACATAGCACAGTTTGCTCAGGTGCCTAGACACACCAACTTATTATAATGAAATGCATGTTGGTGATTAGTGGGTTTACTAATCCTTTCTCTAACTGGATGCTTCAGTGATTCTGGAAGAAGGATGCCAATGCTTTCAAAAAGGCTGCCCTCATGCGAGTTCCTCCTTCACCAAGTTTACAGCTACCCAGCCGAAGGGCAAATATGGTATACAGTTAAAAGGAAAGAAGTTCAGATAACAGTGGGAAGAAACCATACATGCTTCACAATTACTGTTAAAGCATGCCAGCCCAGTGGGGAGAGCGGCCTATACAGAGACATAGCATTTACTGGACTGGGCAGGCTATCCTTCCCAGCTGTACTTTCTGTATAAATAAAAGGCATGGCCTATCCGGCTCAGGTGAACAGGACCTGTGCCCTGGGGTGTCACTGGCCATCCCTAACCATCCCCTGCCTCTGTGCTTTGACAGCAAAGCCACTGACTAGCCTCACAGTCCTGATGGATCGGAATGGTTTGGATTGCTGAGGGTGTGGAATATGATGTATAAAGCTAGTCTTTGGAATCAGGGGGTGGTCTGAGAGGTCAGAGAGAAATTCTTCAAGAATGATTCTCTGCAAAGCTCCATGGGAACCAGCTATGGCTGATAGCTTAAGGCACTCCCTCACTCATGCCACACCAGACAGACTACCAGCTCAAACCTTGGACCCCAGGCCTCTGATCACACAGGCCTGCTGGTCACCTAACTGAATGCTGAGCAGGTGGAATCAAGCGACAGCCAAGGTCCTGCCATGCCATACTAAGGAAGGGTGAACACTTCCTAAATCATGCAGCTTAAAGTGCCACAGGGCAAGCACGGGGGGGCCTCCCTGGAGGCTGAGGCTAGGTGTTGGCTAAATATTTACCTGCCCTAAGATGCGACGGGCTATGGGGGCCTGCACACCTGCTGCTAATCCTGACTCCAGTATTTTCTCTTAATAAGCACTGCTCCAGGAGGAATTTTTTTTTACAGAACTACTGCTAAGCAAGTGGATCTGCCTGCTTTGAAACCTGAGCAGGGCCTGTGCTTAAAATGGCTGCTTTGAGGAATACTGCGGGGTCATCAGTCATCCTGTTTTCTGGAGCTCACATTCACACAGGGCCAGTTTCCCCATTAGGCCCAACAGCCACAGCATCTATGGGCCACGATACTTCCAGGGACCCATGAAAATGTTTTAATTTCTTTTCAAGTCAGAAGGAAACAAACTTTTAAGTCTAAGAAAACATTCTAATATATAATACCTTTAAACCAGCACGGTGGTAAACTATAACTTTTAGCTTTTTTTTTTATGGAGGACGGCAGAGAAGGCCAGAGTGCCTTGGACCCCCCGAAGTCATAATGTGGGTCTGCATTCAGAGAGGGGTTCACGGCAGAGACTTGAAGCTCTTCGCTAGGATCGCGCCCTGGTGAGAATGGTTCAGGGTCTCCCTGCTTGTCTCAACATGGCCAAGGAGGTCCCTGTGATCCCTCAGCTGGTGACAGTTTTCTGTTGGTGCCTGTGGAGGCCCTGGAGCCCCGAGCTCTGGCCCCTGAGGACCGCACCTGCACCTGTGTCTCTTCGGCAGCTCAGGATCTGAGGGGTCGCTGACCATGCGGGGTTCCTGGGTCAGCTCTCCAGACCATTCTTGCCCAGGAAGGGAAGGCTCTGGCCAGAGAAACCGCATCACCTCCCCTCCCCCAGGAACAAGAGGCACCCCAGCGGACAGAAGCCCTTTCTGGAGGCCCACTTCCTATAACAGTGCTGTCGTAACCACACAATCAGTGCAACCCACACATGCTCTGTAGTCTTACCGCAGCCACTACCTGACACAGGACAAGAGCACTCGTGGTGCCCCCCTCCCGGGCTCTGCATCTTGCTGGCATGTTCTGCCCTCCCGGTATTAGGAACACCAACCTCGGTGTGCCTGTCCCCCAAATGGCAAGAGCCTGTGTTTCCAGGAGCTGCCGGATTTCTACGTTGGTTTGCTGCCAGAAAACGCAGCTACGTCTACCTCTTTCCCTCCTAGAAAAGTCTGTCTGTCTGGGCCTGCCCCAGCCGCCTCCAGCCAGACTGAGGCTAGAGAAGGCCTTCTGGAGACTGCTCTGCCTGCCCCCACTCTTCCATCCATCTTCTACCAAGCTGCTCTTTGGAAGGAGGGATGCCTCTGGGCTGAGGGTAGGGGAGGGTGCGGGGCTGCTCCTGCATCCGACTCAGGCCTGGGGCCCATGCGGCATCCTCCTGTGAACTCAGCATGGCTCTCCAGGGTGCTCTGACAAGCATAACCTTTAGAAGCATCTGCAGCAAGCCATCTGGTGTTGATTTTTCAGCTACACCCTCTGAGGATTCACCAGTGCTGCCAAGTCGAAGTAATTCTTTCTGGACACAGCAGCTGCTAAAGTGGGTCACCTTGCATTTCTATAGCATTTCGATGGCCAGGGGACAGCCTGACAAAAGGGAACGTACTTTAAGGTCAGTGACCGGGGTTGTTATGAGCTGCTCGTGGAATCTGGGGCACAGGAGGTGTCCGGGAGGACCTTTACGCAGTCACATCTCTTTCGCAAATTGTCCTCTCGACTATTTTGCGGCTCTGAAACCCAGCCTAAGGATTATAGAAAGTGGAACGGAGGGCTCTGTGTAACTCTAAGGCTCTGGGGGCCATATACATGCAGAGAATAATAGTTCGGATGCTCCAAAGAAGCCATGCTCATTCCTAACTAGTGCCCTCCAAGCAGAGGGAGACAAGGCACAGATGTAGAAATAAAAGGGTAGCCTGTTTGACACTGCTTGCCCGGATTTAGGATTTCCTGTGCCCCTCTCCTAAGGGGTCACAATGACCCTGAACCCAGAGGCAGGCCTCAGCCCTCTGCGCACGCTGGAGTCACCTCAGTGGTGCCATGACAGTTCTCGGCCCTCAGTGAGCGGGCTCAGCGTCCCCATCAAAGAGCATAAGGTCCAGCTCCACTGAGAATCCTCACTCCCTCTAGTATCACATGGTAATGGAAACCAGCAGAGCCAGCGTACCCATCATGTGACCAAAGCAGAGGCTTTCTCAACAGCACAGATATCCTGCTTTGGGGCGGGCCCAATGTGGCATGGGCTGGCAGCTCCGAGTCAGGCCCACCCAGGGGCACCGGCTCTGGTGTGTGAAACTGAGGCACAGAGGCTTCCCTAAAGGCATATAGCCAGTAAGTGGCAGAGCCCAAATTCAAACCCAGTGGTCTGGTTCCGGAGTCTTAACCAGTCTAACTTCTGTGCTGCCTCAGTAAACCTGCCTGCTTCTGGCTCTTGGCAATCCCTTGTCTCCACAGCCTCGTCCCTGTCCCATCTCACCAGGACCACAGTTCAGCCCCCTGACTTCCCCAGGCCCCCAGATCCAACACTACCCGGTGGCCAGAACAGCTCTACTGAGATGGATGTGTGATCAGGCTATGTACCCACTTAAAATCCTTCAGTGCCTCCTACCTATTCCTGGAGACATCCCAATTGTTCAGTAGGCCTGGAGGCCTCCCTGACGGGCCTCCACTGAGCTCTCTGGCCTTCGAGCCACTCCCTCCCTCCCCAACGAGCACAGTGTTTCTGCTCAGGGTTTCTGCCCTGGGATGCTCAGCCCAGCCTCCAGCATGTGCCCAGTGAAGATCTACACCCCCTTCAAGCCCCGACTTAGCAGCCATGGCCTCTTGAGCCTCTGCTATCCTCTCCAGGTGGAGGTTTGGGTTTCCTGCCCTGCATGCCTGACTCACCTCTCCTACACCACAGTCCACAGAACTGTACTGATCTGCGTGCCTTTCTCCCTGGAGACCGTGACATCTGTCCCTCCAGGGAGCTCGGATTATGTGTCGTTCATCTTTGACGACTCAATGTTTGACACTTGACGCTCGGTCAAGGTGTGTTGAGCGACTAAATGAGTTAAATCAAGTGTCTGGCGTGGGAACCACACACATAGAGGGAGGAGCGAGCAGCGGCAGTTTGGCTAGATCCGACCTCTTCTCCCTGCCACAGCCCTCCTCGGCCAGCCTGGCCAGGGCCCCACTCACCGGCTGCCCTGAGCGACGGCAGGCACGATCTCATGGCTGGCACGGAGGGGCCTGGTCCTGGCCTTCATGCGGGCACGCTGCAGCAGATGCTTGGCTTCCTCATGCCTGGGGCTCAGCACAGACTCCGGCTTGGGACCAAAGGTCCTGCAGGGTGGCGCACAGGCCGGAGCAGGCGGCGGGGGGGAGGGATTAGAAGAAAATAACATGGATTAGAAGGGCTTTAACAGCACTGAACTCGGCTGTGCCAGAAAAGGCTCTGCATGTGCAGCCTTCCTTGTCCAGCTCCCACACAGAGGGCTCCAGCCCGGGGCCGGGGCTCTGGGGCCTGGAGTCTGGGCAATGGCCCTGAGTGGGAAGGGAGATGGCCCACCTCGGACATCCACTCAGGGACTGGAGGCAGAGATCCCAGGAGGATCTAAGAAGGGCAGGGGAATCTCCAGATTATTCTATTGTTCCTTCCCTGGGCAGGCAATGGGAGTTATCCGGGAGGACGGGGGAAGGGCCTGGCGTTGTTGGACTGGGCCTGTGCCCAGCCAGATGGTCTTTACACACATCACCTCCCTCTCTCCTTCTGCCTCTCTTTGCACCCACACGTACCCATGCAAGCCCCCACCGCAGACGCGAGGAGTCAGGCCTCAGCCCGTCACATTCTGCTCCTTGGGGGGAATGACATTTCTATAAATCCTGGTGCTTTCTTGCCTGCCTCAGTCCCAATCCAAACCCGTCAGGCATCGGCTCAGGGCTCAGAGAAATTAAGCTGGACCCACACCAAGTCAGCCAATGGCTCGATTTTCATAAAAATAAGGGTCCTCTACCAGCCCTCCCCACCTACCAGATGTGCGGCCTCCCGGGGAGGTCCCGAACCGCAGTCCAGAGCCGAGGCCCTTTTTCAAAGCTGTCTGGCAGACGGTGACATACAGCCTGCGCCAGGGTACAGAATAACAGCAGCCCCCAAGCCCCCACTGACAAGCCATTTCTCTCCACCGAGCTCCCTCTCCCCAGCCAGGCTGACCCAGGGCAGGTGTGCTGTCCGCCTGACGGATGAGGGTATTCCGCAGCAGACGGGAACATTTGGCACACTGCTCAAGGTCGAACATCAGTGGAGAGCAAAGCAGACGATCGCCAGCCCCACTGCCTCCGGTCTCCTTCCCACACCCTCTGTCTCCTCCTTCCTCCTGCCCCTGGATCCCAGGACAGGCTGAGAGTGTGTGTGTGGCTGGAGTCACATTCTTTGAAGTGACTTCAGCATCCCCCCCGGCTGCCCCTGTCCTCACTGTCATATACGCTGGGCTGTCCTCACGAGGGAGGATCCACCAAAAGAGAACCCAGGCAGGTAGAGGCTCAGCCAGGCTTAGATCTCAGACGGTAGCCCCCCAAATCCCTTGTCTCGCCTGCCGCATGGGTGACCCCAAGAAAGGGGCCTGACTGGGGGAAGGTACCAGTTTCCTGGATGACAGATGACAGATGTGAGTGGGAAATGGCATAATTCTGGAGCCTCCTTGGGACATCCTTGGACAAGCTCAGGCAGTCTGTGGTTCTTTCTTTCTTTTTCTCTTTTCTTTCCTATTCTCTTCCTTTCTTGCTTGCTTTCGTCTTTCTTTCTTTGTTGCTCATGCTTTGCACCTAACCTTGCTTTGGAGCTCAAGGGAAAAAAAAAAAGAACTGCTAGAATAAAGGCACCATCTGTGCATATGAACCCTGGCAAGGCCCAGGCACAGTTTTGGAACAAGGAGGGTTTACTGGAGTGACGTGAAAGTGACTCTCCAGGCCTGTGGCCCTGTAAAGCCTCCTTTGGCAGGAGAGGCCTCGCTTTGCATAGCTTCCCAAGCAGGCAGCTTCTCCGACCCTCTGCTGAGAACAGCTGTGCCCCCCGGGGCTCCTGCTCCCACAGCACAGATAATGAGGTTACCAGCTCAAGAGACGCCCTGCAGCCGCCGGCCCCCACACTCGGAGCCTTCCGGGGACAGTGTGGTTCCCCGGCTGTCGGAGGGTATTTTGTCACAAGACCTGGTGGGCAGGCAGGAGGGCCCCCAGGCAGCTGGCCAGATGCTGTCAGGACTGGCCTTGCCCCCAGGTTTTTAAGCCATTTTCCAGCTTTGCTGCTTCCTTTCTGCTCCCTCTCCTTGGAGCTATTAATTCTTTCTTTTTTTTTTTTTTTTCCATTTTTTTCTGTTTTCATCAGCTGCCCTGCTTTGGTTCCTGGCAGACAAAGCTGCTTTCTCCACTGATTACAAAAGTAAGGCTTTTTAGGCTCCTGAAGGCGTCTGTGCACTAGCAAGCTGAGCCGGGAGGGGCATGGCAGCTACCTTCACAGATGGCAGTCAAGGTCAGCAGGGCAGGCAGTCCTGGACCTGACCAGCCCCGTGCAGGGGAAAGGGCTCTTTCTCCCGGGAGGCAGGGGGCAAGCGGCTGCAGTGCTGGGGGATGTTGAGCCTCTCCCAGCCTGACTGCCCACCCCAGAACCATCGCTGCAACATGCTGGTCTGCCGGCAGGGTGCCAGCCCTGCCAGCCTGACAGGTTCAGACTCTTCCATCCGAGCGAGGCTTTCCTGTCTCGTCTGGCCCTGGCCTCTGCCCAGGGCATGCAGCCCTAGAGCCAACCCCTTCCCATCACGGACTATACCCCACCGTCTCAGCTCCCACATTTGTGGAAATTTCCTGGAAGGGCTGGGGTCATCAGCGCATGGCGAGGCTGAGGCAATTCCATCTCAGAACAGACACCGTTGCTACTCTCTAGAAAACCTGCATGTCTGGGCCTCATTAGCTCCGCGGGTAGGGCACGGAGATAACATGGCTGAACGCTGTTCCTCCCTGGGCCTTAATCTCCCATCTGTGAACAGTGGGAGTTGGATAGGCCCGTAGACTCACACTGCTACCCTGTGAGTGCAGGTTTTGGCCAGGTAGTCTGGTAGACCACAGGGTTGGGTGGGGGATTTTGAACTCTCCCTGGGGAGTTCACATCACAGAGGTCTAGTCACCAAGGAGCAGCAATACCTACAAGGAACTAATTGTTGGGGGCGCCTGGGTGGCTCAGGTGGTGAAGCATCTGCCTCCAGCTCACGTCATAATCTCAGGGTCCTGGGATCAAGCCCTGCATTGGGCTCCCTGCTCAGCGGGGAGCCTGTTTCTCTCTCTCTCCCTCTGCCCCTCCCCCCCGCTCATTCTCTCTCTCAAATAAATAATTTTCTTTTTTTTAAGGAACTAATTGCTGGGGACAACCGGAGCACCACAGGGGTATTCTAGCCCTTCTCTCTGCCCCTCCAACCACCAGTGTCCCAAGCTGATTTCAAGGACAAAGGTAGCATATGCCCCCATCTGGCCTGTCCCTCTAAGCCAGTTTCCTGGTGGAGAGACAGGCTTAGCTCCGACCTCAGCTCCCCTCGTGGCCAGACAGGTCGAGATCTCGAGTCAGGAGAGCCTCCGCTCGTCTCCTAGCCAAGGAGGGAGGTCAGCAGGACAGAGTGGCATCTTTCTGCAGCCATCATAATCCTGGATTAAAATAATAAGCTCCAGCAAGTCTGGGTCTCACCCTTTCATCCCAGGAACACGAATCAGGGAAATAATTTGGAATATATAGAGATCTGACATTTCCCAGATTCCAGGATGCAGTGGGTAGAGGGGAATGTACGGCATACAGAACATACATAAACCTTCTTGCCCCGCACTTGTTCCATCTTTCTAGATGAGTGAGGGTCGCGCTCTCCTGCTGTTACACTGTGTGCAGTTTCCCCGAGGGAGGGGGAGGGAAAGTGAGGCCTGAAACTGAGTCCTGACTGCGAGCGCCTGAGGGTGGGATGCTATCCTCGGGGCATTATCGCAGGACACGGACAGGCTGGGGCCAGAGTGCGGGTTCCCAGCGTGGTTCTGGGGCAGCTAACCAGGTCCTAACTCGGGGCTGCCCCTTACCAGTGGGTCACCCTGGTCGGTTACTTTGGGGTTAAGCCTCAGTTTCCTCATCTGCTAACTAAGAGCTCAGTCGATAAGTGAGATTGAGCTCCTTTTAAAGGAGCTGATCGCAGAGCCGGGTACTGGGTGAGACCCGATCAGTGTTAGCATTCACTCTTACGCCTGCCGTTATTAAGGGTGCTATTTTTTTTAGGTAACTCTCCCCCTTATGAACAAAGGATGGAATCCCTAACCGCAAACTGAAATCCCTGCTGAAGAGATCATCTTGCCGTCGTCTGCAAGGGGAAGGTACGTTTGGAAGGGAAACCATTCTGAAGCTCCAGAAGGCTCGGGGGTTTTGCTCTAGACGGCTCTTGACAGGGCTTCACAGAGAAGGCAATATCCAACAAGTGGGGAGCCCCTCAGAGGAGACTGTCTGGTGGCTGACGAAAGCTGCTGCCCAGAGAATAAACAGGTAACTTCTCAACAGAGAAGGAAGAGCAGGCGTCCTCAAGAATGGTTGCTGCAGGGGGCGCCTGTCTCATTTAACACCTTGAAAAGGACCTGGTGCAGGCGAGCAGCGTCAAGACGCCAGCCTCTTGCTTGGGGACAGTACAGCAGCTGGCCCTGTTCTTGCCTTCTTGAAGGCTAACAAACTCCTTGGGGGCGGCCCCTCTGGGCAGCACTGCCTGGCCTCAGTGTGTGGAGGCAGGTGCCCGAGACACCCCCAAGTAGGAGGGAGAGTGGCCGGCTCAACTCCAGAGGCCAGGAGGAGGGCTTCCTCTGCTTGAATGTCAGCCCGACCCCCCACAGGTGGTGGAGGAGAAAGTAGCTTTCTTCAGCCTCTATATTCGCAGAGGCTAGGGCCACCAGGGGGTTTCCACGTGTGGCGTGTACGTTGAGTGTGGAAATGGCATGGCGTGAAAGCTCCAGGTGGCACGAGCTGTGCTTCAAGGCTTCCAGCGTTAGCGTCCTTCCTTCTCCACCCAGGACTTAGAAGCCTAGATAACCGGGAGCATGGTATCGGAACACGGGCGAGTGGTTTACTTGAAGATGGTGAATGTGTCTCCACTTGTTACTGCCCTACTTAAGATCTCAATTCCAAAGCTCTCCACAAATGGAGAGCCAGCCTTCCCATCTTGTATCCTGTAGTATCCACACATGCCACTTCAGCCTTCTCGAAAGCATTCCCGCAGGTCCTACCCACGCGGGGGTGTCCTCTCCTGCATCCATCCCGCTCCTATCGAGCCCACCTACACTCCTGCCTGTGAGTCGCTGCCAAATGTTTCCTGAGGGCCTGTTCCCTGCAGCTACGGGGCCCCGGAGCGAAGACTGGCATAGTTTTTGTCCCCAAGGAGCGTGAGGAGGAGACCCAGCAACAACATCTTTGGCTAAAGCTGTGCAAAGATGGCAGTGAGCGCACAAACGGGCAATTCCCTCTGAAATCAGACACAGTGGTCGGTTCACAGGATGCTCTCCAGAAATGTGAGTTAATATGTTAATTTTTAACAAGCCGGAGATTTTCTAGCAGCTGTGGGCCTGACCCCTTGAGCCACAGGCCAGGCCTCGGAAACTCTTGGGGGCTCCCTGCCTGCCTCCCTTTAGTCTATGAACTGCTTTGGGGCAGGGAGTTTTGACCTGTAGCAATCCCAGCAGGGGCCGGAAAACTGCGACCCACCAGGGTGTGAGCGTCTGTGGGCTGGCACTCTGCCTTCTCTTCTCATGAAGAGGTGTGTGTACGGGACTGAGCTTCCCTCGAGCCTCGGCTTCCGAAATGGGCACGATTCTGCCACGGGGATGCAGGGCGGGGTGGGGTGGGGTCAGTCAACAACCTAGGGAATCCTCCGAGTTTCCTTCATCAGCAGAGCACAAATAAAACACAACCCAGAGACCCTCTTCTCTCCATTTTGCGCACAGCGGAGCAATCATTAAAGCCCTGCAGACACACTTGAGGATCTGGAGCACTGATCCCACACGGAAAGTCCTGATTCGAGCCAGAGCCGGCCTCAAGGGGGCGCGCTGGCACGTGCAGCCGCCCGAAGCTGGGTGCTTTCAGCTCCCGACTCCCATTCGATGCAGGGCGTGGGGTGAGGCCTGCCCTGACTGCTGCTGCACCTCTGGCTTCACATATGTTTTGCACAAGCTGGGGTAACTGGGGGTCCTAGGGCGACCTGTAATCCTGATCTGCTCTCTCAGAGCCTCAAGAGAGGGAAGAGGCCGAGCTGGTCCTGGCCATTTCATGGAGTTGGGGTGGGATGCCCACGGGTTGCTAAGGATGGAAGAGGGCAGAGCCAGCCCTGAGCAGAGTGCCCGCTGCACTCTCCTTCCCGCTCCTGCCTCTGATGGGACCAGTTCCCAGTCCGCCTGTGAACAGGTGGCCGACAGCACCGGCCCCCGTCTGCACTCTCTGAAGTGCTTACCTCCCACCCCCTCCTCTCCCCAAACCAGAGCCTTATGCCCCAAATCATCTCAACGGTGGCTTGGGAGAGAAACAAGATTAGCCCTTGGAGACTGTCACCTCGCCTTCTGTGCCCATCCCCAAGAACACCTCGCCGGCACTGGGGGAGGCAGAAGACCCCCAGATCCCTAACTTGAGGAGCGGCCTGGGGGGGCATGGAGAGGACAGCCGTGGCAGTGTGGCATAAGGGTTAGGACACAGACCCCGGTGCCTGCAAATCCTGGCTCCCGCACTTACTAGCTGTATGACCCTGGGCAGGTCACTTTACCTCTCTTCAGAGGGGTCTCTTTGTCAGGGAAACAGAACAAGCCCTACAGTGGGCAGAGACTTCGCACAGGCCCTGGCACACAACAGGGGCTGGAAAAGGGCAGGGCTGGCATGGTCTTCTGGAGGAAGGGACTGGCCACCGGCATGTTCCAGCTCTCTAGGACTCAACCTTCCCTTGCCCCTCAGTAGAGGGGACCACCCTGGGGTCAGGGGTTGGAGGTCTCCTCTGCATTTGGCCCTTAGCATCTAGGGTCCCAGGGCACCTCTGGTGTTCCTGTAGCATCTCAGGTGTCCCACCTGCAAGGTCGACTCTCCCGCTGACTACCCCCCAACAGGCTGGCCCACACCTCCCGCCCACCCCCCCGTCACACAGTGACGACCGTCTCGGGCTCTGCAGTGACCATCATTTCATGAGCTTCTTGTCTCATCACCATGCAAAGCAGTAACAACTGCAGACAATTATAATTAAGTACAGGCTGGATTAATGTGGTCAAATGGATATTTGATGGCAATCCTGAAAGGCACTGATGCTGGACCTGAGTGTGAGGCAGGACCTTCTCTGCGTCACATCCTCAGAGGTCACAGGACTCACTGCCAGAGCATGTCCTGACCCCCCGAAGGACGGCCACCAAGATGCACGGCCACCGCGTCAGAACACGCCACTGCCCAGGGCCCTAGGCCCCTCCGTACAGACACTAAATCCCCAGGATGCTGGTCCGATTGGCACTCCTGGATTACAGAACTGAGAGAAGTAGGCCTTATTTCAGAGGTCTCTTGGGAAGTTCAGCTATAAGGAAATGGCATCAATAAATCCATCCCCCTTAGGGGACAGATGGAGCCTGCAGTGTCTTAGGGACTACTTTAATTTCTGCCCAGGAGACTCAAGAATAGAACCAAATGAGGCGCTCTGCCCAAGGGGGCCTCAAGACATGGCCAATGTTTCTCTCAGCCTTGAACTAGGGTATGTTCCCTGGCCCTTCGGCCTGGGTGTCTGTTCGGGAGGGGCCTGACTGTAGATTGCAGGTCAATGGGGCACTCTGGAGGACAAAGTTTTCCCCATGCCAACTCTATGCCCAGATATATGCTGGCCACAGTCCTAAAGCTCACTAAGACAACTTCTTCCTCAACACACACACACACACACGCCCATCACACATATATGCACACACCTACACATCCTGCACCTGCACACATATACCCCACCTGAACCCTAAAATGCTGCAGGTGGCCTGGCAGTTTAAACAATAGTCCAGAAATCCGCATCCAGAGGATTCTACACAAACACCATGTCCTCACAGGACTTGCGGGTGGGGGGAGTCCCTTCCTCCACCACAGTTGAGGTTCTCCTCCTCTAAACTGGGTATTTTTATTACTTATTATCCGATAAGCCAGTCGGGAGCTTTGGTTTCTCCTTTCAACAGTGAGCTCTGGACAAAGCCCCGCCGGGGCAGGGGTTGGGGGGTGAGAGGTGGGGGGCAGGAGCAGCTACAGAAGAGGAGGTGCCATCTCACAGGACACGCGGTACGTCTGCCCCAGCTGCCTCCTCCACGGGCTCCCCAGGCAAAGAGGGGACGGGGAGGACGAGAGCGTGTCACTGAGGACCAGTTCTTCCTGCAGTCACACTCCTCCATACGGTGGCCGGGCTACGTGGGGACCTGGCAGAGGGGAGCCAACTATGATTCCAAGTCATAAATAATGAGGGACGAAGGAGCCAGAAAGCCCCCCCACTCCACCAGCCCTTGGCCAAGGCCACGGCAAAGGCCAGTAGCCAAGCAGAAGCTGGATCGCCTGAATCGGGGCAGCCCTCGATTTGTGAAAGCAGGACCAGGGGGGCCCCATCCACGTTTTCTGGAAGGCAGGTCAACTGAAGTGGAATTTCTGCAGGGAATGGCCTGGGAATGAAGAAGCAACAACTCTGACCTCTGCCCCCCACAGGAGCCAGGAGACCCTCAGCAAGTGACGTCACTGCACAGCTGGAGACACGGAGCCCGGTGTGCCCGGGGCCAGGAGCTCGTTGAAGACGGGGGCCAACCTCTGAGCAGGCACCAGGGGTGGCCCTCAGCCCCACGGAGTGCACATCCTGCCAGGACACTGCCCACTCTGGAGAGTGGCCCCACGGCCCCGAGCACTCCGTTGCGCCAACTGCCCAGAGACACTGGTCTGTGTCTGTGCGATGTCACAGGTGAGGTCAGAGGAGGTGAACTCCTTTGCAGGAGCCAGCAGACCCCCTGGGTGGGGAAGGAACTGTGGGGGAAATCTGTGGACTTTCCCTAAGGATTTCCACACATTCTCTCCTGTTGGCCTCACCACAGTCCTGTGAAGGAAACCAGACAGGCACTATCGGGGCCACCTTAGAGATCAAGAGACCGAGCCCAGGGCCGGGGAAAGGATGCCCGGGGACACAGAGCAGGTGGCTGGCAGTGCTCTTGGCCCTGTGTCCTGTGCCCAGTGGTTTTCTCCCAGCGGCCAGGCACCTGTGGGCACCGGGGGGGTGCTGACACCTTCCATGGGGCCTCAGGTATGAGGATCCACAGTGGCCCTCTGTCCACTGGTCTGCTGGTGCGGCGGCGGCGGGGGGGGTCCTGCCTGCCTCTTGCTTTCTCGAGGTCTCCCACTCTCCTGGTGCCGGGCAAACGAGGGGGCCCCAGCGAGGAGGGCAGGAGAGGACGTGTGCCCCGTGGGCTCTCACCTGTTCTGGTCCAAGTCCTGCAGGGAGATGCCTGAGTCCCAGCCCACGTCCCCTGCTGGTCGCTCTAGGACATAGAACAGAAGCGGAGCTCAGGGCAGAGTCAGACAGACACGGGGCTCTCGGCTGTGACTGAGGGAACACCCGGAAGAAAGTTGTCTCCAGGAGCGACTTATTCCCAAGACACACTCAACCCCGCTCTGTGTCTCAGCTGAAGAAGTGGAGGCAGAGCCTGTCATGGTGACAGGGGGCACTGCCACGGGCCAAGGGGACCACGTGGGTCCTCTCGGGTGTGGGGTGAGGAGCGGACTTTCGGAGTGGGGGGAAGCATGGAAAGAAGGCTCTCTCAGGCCCGAACACTTCCACATCCCAGCGGAGCTGCCGCCTGACAGAACGCTGCCCCCTGCGGGTGGGGCTTCCGCCAGGAGGCGCTGAGCTCCACTGGGGGCTGGGGGCAGGTCACCGGAGGAAGGTGCCGAGAGCCACTCCAGAGAGGGCTGTAAGCCACAGGGGAGAAACCATCCCAAGCTCTGAGGGTAGCCTCCAGTTGGTCTGGGGGGCGATGGGGGTCTTCAGCAGACAGGCTAGCTGTGAGGTGGTAAAGAATCTATGTCAAAGCCCAGAGTAAGAGGACATCTTGAGGAATTCGGTGGCCGGCAGCTGTGCCCTTCTCCCTTTCCTGACACACGCCACCTCGGGTACCCTCTTGCCCCTCGTCTCCTCCTGGACTCCCTCCTTTGGCCCCCACCACCCAGACCTACAGAGAGAGCCTCACCTGGTAGACCTCTGTCCCAGGATGGAGTCCAGGCTGGGATTCCCACCCTGGGGGGGCCTTGGCCGCCAACATTTAGCATCTCCTGCAGCAGAAGACGGTTCCTCTCCACCCGGTCAGACAAGGATAAGGCACTGCCGCCAGGGCCCAGAGCCCCCAGCTCTGCAGCTCGCCAGAGCCCCTCTAGCAAGGCTGGCCTGGGAACGAAGTCCTCCTCGCAGGTCAGAGACAAGCTGTCCAGGTCTCCCCCTGTAACTAGATCATCCTGAAGGGTGTATGACCTTCCTTTCCTCAGGTTGGGCATGTGGGTGATTTTGTTACAAGGACCGGGGCCTCCAGGCCGGCCTGGAGTGACTCTCTGAACAGGGTTCTCTTCCAAACAGCCAGGCCCTGGCAGCAGACTCCTCTCATTGTCGGGCAAGGCCTGTACTGCTTCTGGAGGCCGCGGGCTCCTCCCGTTCCGGCACTCCAGCCCAGGAGAAGGCGGCCTGGGAGGTCTGGGACCCCCGTTTCGGGCAGGTTCCTCCTTGCTGATATCGCTGTCCAGCTGCCCATCAGGCAGATTCTGAGCAGGGAGCACCCCCTCAGCATCCGCCAAGGAAGACCCCTCCAACAGAGGCCCAGCTCCGCCCACCTTGACTCGCCTGCATTTGGGTTTCTTGGATGGCCACTCGTGAGAAGTGAGGCCGGGGCTCACCCCCTGTTTGCCTGCCGTCACTTTTTCCTTCAAGGCCCTCACTTTGGACTCCAGCACAGAGGGACCTGGGAGTTGTATCCCCCATGCCCTGGGGTGTTGGGGGGCCATCAGGCTGGGTGTTCTGTCTTCCAGAGAGCAGGACCAGGGTCTTGGGAGGTGTCCACTATCCAGCTGTGGCTCAGGGCCACTTCTTTCCACAGCCAAGGTCATCTCCATGGAGCTGGTTGTTCTGCTCCCTATTTGGGTCCCTCTGGAGGAGAAAACAGACAGAGCTCCTGAGACCCAGCATGTGGCTAGTAGCTCCAACTACCTCCTGGGTCCCCAAAGTGCCTTGGAATTGAGGCTTGTGCAGATGAGAACAACCTGGGGACAGAACTTTGAAAAGTATAAATCACTGTATGGCACAAATAAGTTATTGAGTTTTTTCTTCCAAGTCTGAGCAGTGTTCTAGTTTTTCTAACCCCATTTTACAGATGGGGCACAATGAAGCTTCAAACAACTGCCTAATGTGGACCAGAGTGACAACAGGGGCCAGATTTCCCAGCCCCTGGCCTCCATCTTTGCTGACAGGAGGTCTCAGGGGAGGATGTCAACATCTGCTAAGAGCTAACAAACTCCTCTTTTTAAGGGGAGCCAAAGGGGATGAGGGACTTCGGGAAGATACCACACAGGATCTGACCCCCTGGTTGAAGGTGCCTCCCTGTGTACAAGCCACAGGTCAGCAGCATGGGGCTGTGTGCAAAGGGTGGCCATGACGAGTCACCGGCTCCTATTCACATCTGCTCTGTGGCAGGCGGGCCTGCAAGAGCTTTCAAACACACTCTCTCTAGGGATCCTCACACACTCTGCCAGAAGGGGATTATCTTCCTCATTTTCACAGATGGAGAAACTGAGGCACAGAGATCTGGTCACACAGGGGCTGAAAGAAGGCTAGATTTGGAATGCAAATCTCCTTCCAAGGCCGGTGGCTCTTTCAAAGCACTCAGTGATCAGGTGATCACTTACCCCCCACTCTCCTTATTCTGTAGGTGAGAATATCCAGTCTGGAGAGGTTAAGTGACTTGCCAGAATCACACAGCTCCTTGGTGGCAGAGCTGATGTCAATGTCTTCACAGAGAATGAAAGTGAGCATAGGATTTTATTCCCCAAGTGGTTCAGTGCACTAATATTTACCCCACTCTCTGAGAAAAAGCTCCTTAAACACCATACATTTAGATATGTCTCACCTGAAGTAAACTGCATGTATAAAAATTCATATTTACATAAATTACAAATTAGGAGTTAATTTTTCACTTCATATATGAACTAAAGTTCACCACAGGATTCTCTGAAATGGCAAGTCCCTCTATCGTCGTTTATTACAATTCGATTTATACATGTTTCAGGAATGTACATAGTTCATAAAGCAAAATACATAGTGCAAATGTCACATCAGCCTTAAGCCTGTGAAGTATAAGGAGTATCTTCAGAAGGGCGAGATCATTTCCTCCACCAGCTGATCTGGAATTTACCAACTTTCTTTTTGCAGCCCAGCCACCGAATCCTCTCTTCTAGAAAAGTTCAGCTCAGAAAGCAGGGGATTCGGGGCAAGGCCAGCCAGACGAAAAGAACTTTCTGACGGGTAGGCTCTGGAACCGCATTCCCGGGGCACCCGGGTCTGGAGCCCTTCGAGCACGCGAGCCTTGCACGGGGCTCCCCGGGGCACGGGCAGCCTTCCGCGGAGCCGCCCGCCTGTCGGGCCGGGCCGGGCCGGGCCGGGCCGGGCCGAGCCCGGGGTCGGCTCTGACTCCCGCAGGCTGAAGCCGGAAGGACGCGCAGGGCGGCCTCCCCGCGCCGCGGTCCGCTCCGAGGCCGCGCGCGGCCGGCACCCCCCTCCCACCCCATCCCCTCCGCTCCCCCACCGCCCCCGCCGGCCCGGCGCCTCGCTCCCGCGTACTCACTGGGGGCCGCCGCCTGCAGGCCGGGCCGCCGCCGCCGCCTCCGGCACCCCCTCCATCCCGCGGAGCGGCGCGGCCCTCCTCCGGCCCTCCGCCCTCCGTTCCGGCCGCGCGGTGGGGTGCGGGCCGCCGCCTGCCTGCGGGTCCGCGGGGGGAAGCGGGCGCGGCCCAGGCGGGGAGGCAGCGGCATGGGCTGCTGGTTCCCGGCTCTGCCAGCCCCGGGGAGAGGCCAAGCCTGGCGCGCCCCAGGCCGGGAGCCGAGAGAGGGAGCGCGGAGGGCAGAAAGGCGGGGCAGCGGAAGGGGCTGGAGGAACGGGCCAGTGCCCCCACCCCGGCCCCCGCCGCCCTCCGCTCGCCTCCTGCTCCCGGCGAGGGCGGCCGCGGGCTCCCACGTCCCGGGGAAGGGAGGACGAGCGGGGCCGGGGCTCGGGCGCGGGGACCGAGGGGGCTCGGGGCCCTCGGAGGACGCCGCGGGACCGACCCCTTCGCGCGGGCCCAGGCGAGGCTTCGGGGCGCGCGCGGCGTGGGACCCGGCTCCACGCGAGCCAAGGCTAGGAAGACACCGCGTTCCTCCCCGGCTCCGCGGGAATGCGTGTAACTCTACACCCGCGGCTTGAAGCTAAGCAATGCCCTTTGTTTAGACAACTTTTCCAGAGAACTCGGGGCGCTCTCTCCGAGGTGCCCTCGCCTCAGAGGTCAAGGTCATTCGTTTCTGCTTTCCTGCGGCGCGCGGGTACCCGGAGTGGAGGCGGCTTCCCTCATCCTGCCCTGCCCGCGGGAGAGCCTGGTACCTGCATTGCCAGCCCCTGGGATAGGGACCGGTTCTCACAGCCCTGGGGCCTCCTGAAGAGACCTTGTCACTTTTTCCACTCCTGGGAGGAAGTGGCAGCAAAGGTTTTTCCCTGCAGCCTGTGGCCCAAACCAACGGAGCTTGCTTTCTCTGTCCACCCAGAGGGAGGTAAAGGAATCTCACCTGTTTCCAAACAGTTGTCAACAAAGGATAGGAAACGATAAGAGAGTGAGGACCCAGGAGATTCCAGAAATCTCTGCAAAGGGAAAAGTGCTCATTCATTGTTCCTTCAGCCGGACAAGCTTCTCACTCAAGTATGGGTTGCTCTCCTATTTGTACTTGCGTGCTACTGTCACCACCTAGATGACAGGCACAGCAACAGGACCACACAGTGTGCTTGCCAAGTGCCTGCGCAGGGGTGGAGGCCAGGGATGGTTTCCGGGGGAGGCCTGGCTCTTGAGTGAGGAGGACTTACCCTGTAAGTGGGGGCATCTGGGCAAGGCTGAAGCCCCCCAGGCATGAGAGCAGCTGTTTGGGGAGCTGTGTTAGATTGGCCTTGGGCTAATTTAGGAACCTGAGAGATTATCTAGGGCAAACCCTGTGTGTTACAGAATAGGCCCAAGGTCACACAGCTCTCCTGTCAGGTGGTCTCCAAAGTCTGGGGTCAGTGCTCTGGCAAGTGAATCCCTACCTCCTTCCATATTCCCAGAGCAAGCTATTCCTCCAACAGGGCACTTACTGCCATTTCTTAGTACGGATCCCTTCATAAGACAATAACATACCATATACAGGGATTTATGGAGGTACCGTGCACCTGGCATTGGGCTAAGCACTTTACATTCCTTATCTCGTATGGTAACCCTAAAAGATGGGTACTGTTTATTGTCTCCTTTCTACAGATTAGGAAACTGAGTTAGGTGATCTTCCCAAGATTATGGAGCTCGTAAGTGGTATGCTTTCTAGAGTTCAAGACCCTCACCTCAACCACACCGCATGGGGGGAGGGCGGCAGCACTCTGCATGTGCATGTTCGGCATGGAAAGAGTTAGTCTAAAAAAATCAAAACATTGTCAAGTGCTGTGAGAGAAAAAATATGCTGCAGCAGCGGTCTGGCCCTTCCAGTCTGGATACTTTCTGCCTTCCTTACTCCGTCAATCCAAGGTAAAGTTCTGGAAACCTGGTAAGACCCCTTCCTCTCATCCATGTGCAATGTCAAACCCAACAACATTACTCTTACCATTATTGGGAAACTTCTACGAGCTAAGAGACTCCATATAGGATCCTTTAGATCTTTACAACCATCCCACCAAGTGAGTGTAGTGTATCTCCACTTTAAGGATAAGGAAATCGGGGTATAGAGAGCTGAGGGACTTGCCTGAGGCCACACAGCTAGTCTAGTCAGAATCCGAATCCAGTCCTGTGGGGCTCCAAGATCTTCTGCCTTGCTTTCTCCTTTCAGAGGCATCTCAGAACCCAGACTCTTGCAGGTAACTTCATGATTCCTGTTCCCCACCCCCAAAAGTTAATGATCTGTAAGGCAAGTTTCTGAAAGTTCCAGCAAAAGCTTAATGTTTAAAGGAAACCTGCCCCCCACCTTTTGAGATGCAAATAATCACCTTCAGTTTACTCATTAAATTTGTTACTTTACACTTAATATAGGGGGATGGGTGTCACATCTCTACAGAGGTTTGAAAAGCCATCTACAAATACCAACAAGCATATCCTCAGAAGCTATTAATTTATCACGACATTCACACATTGGAAGGCATTTCTCATTCATCTGGATTCTGTTTGGTTCAGCAAATATCCATTGAGTTTCTACTATGCACCAGACACTGGAAAGACAAAATGTAACACCACAGACCCTGTCCTTGAGGAATTTTTGGTCAAGTTGGACAGGGGAGGGAAACAGAAACTTTCTATATATGTGCTCCCCATTCAGGCTAGCACAGGGTGGTGGTATGCGTCGGCTCACAGGAACAGCTGAGGTGTGTGACTGAGGTGTGTGTTGGGTGGGAGGGGTATCGCGGAGCACCGGCTCATGAAGAAATAGCAGGAGTTAGCCAGACAGAGGGGGAGGGGTGGGAGAAACATTTCTGTCAGAGAGATTAGCATAAACACAGGCATCCAGGTGTGAAACTGCCTGGTTCCATTGTTACTATGAGTAAAAGTTACACTGGAAAAGCAAGAGCCGGGCTGAAGCTGCAAGGCAGGGGTGGTGTGGCCTGCTGCAGAGCATCTGGTGTCCGGGTGAGGAGCTTGGACACTGTCCTGTGAAGTGGGAGTCCCTGGAAGGTGGGCTACCTTGAGCATGGCACCTTTCTGGACTGGAGAACTACCTTATGTCATGTGTATCAGAATCCTTCAATACCGTGTTTTGGAGAGAAATCTAGGAGGAACACAAATACATGGGATGTAGCAATCACATAGCCTTCTTCCTCCATTTGAACAACGAGGGAGACCCAGCCTCCCTCCACTTGGCCTGGATGAAAACACCACAGCTCACCCCTCCTCCCCGCCTTCCCTCACCAGGCTCTGAACACGGAGCTTTGAACAGGAGCCATGTTGGATATGGAAATCGGGTTTCACTTAGGATAAAGGGATGGGTGAGAGATGGTCCTTCAAGGTCACACCATTAGAGGTGGTGGAGTGGGACTGGGGTGGGAGGGACACCTCTGCCGTCGCTTCACTGTCCTGCTTGAGGAGCTGGTCACCCCTGTCTTGGACACGGGGCACATGGTCTGAGGAGGACACAGAGCCAACTGGTCCTGTCAGCGGCTCTTGGGGATGCTGTTCACAGCTCCAGGGTCTTCCCTCAGGCTCTTCCCTTTTCTTTCCAGCAGAACCCCAAGAGAGCACTGGGACCTGTCTCCCTCCCTGTAGAACTCTCCCGCCACTTGCCAAGGGCTGGTGTGACCTGGGCCCGTGTGGACGCGCCTGGGACACTGGTGAGAGGCTGATTCCAAGGTCTGCTCTTGGAGATCCTGACTCTGTAGGCTGAGTAAGGCCCGGGAGTCTGCCTCCTAATGGGCTTCCCATGGGCTTTTCAGGCCCAGTTAGCCTGGAGAAGCACACGTCCTGTGTTCAGACTCAAACCCCTTCGTAAGGCCTGGGGGCCCCCGGCTTCAGCTCACGGCCCCACAGCCCATCCCGCACGCTGGCCAACGGACCTGCTTTCAGCTCTCCTGACCGACCTTGCCCAGGCTCTCCTTCAGCCCAAAACACCCAGCTTCCCTCCACATACATGCCAGTTTGGCTGTCTCCTACTAGACCTTCCGCACAGCTCAAGTGGCCCATCCTCAGGGCAGTCTTCCCAGTACCTTCCATGGGTCTCCTAACCTAGGTTAGAGCCCCGGGGGGCCCGCTGCTGCCAGACCGTTTATCACGCAGCCACATCACTGAGCATTCCTGATCTGGATCTGTGTCCCTGGCCCCCACCACGTGCCTGCCACATAAAAGGTATTGACTAAATGCCAGGCAGCTAAAAGAGAGAAAAAAATCCCTACCAAGTAAGGCTGCCTGACAGCACTGCTTGCTAAAAGGATCAAGGTCATTTCCAAAGGATTTGGTTCATTTGCTCGACATGGCCAGTCCTGCCTCAGAAACTATGAGAAAGTCGGTCCCTGGCAGGGCCAGGACCAGCACCTAGGTTTCTTAACTGCCTCTCATTTTCACCTGATGCCCAGGCCTGCTTGCCTCCGCCCTTCTTCCCGCTTCCCCCAGTGCTCACTGATCACAGACAGGGGTAGGGGCATTAGGCTTCAATTCTGAGTGAGCCTGGAAGTCAGGAGATAACATAGCTATCAGAAGAAGAAATGGATGGGGGAGGAGAGAGGAGGAGATAATGAGAGAGAAGCACAAACAGGGTGGGAGAGGATCCCAGAAATACATACATTGAGGCAACACGACAACTGGGCACCTCCAGAGAGCAACCACCTTGTTACGCGTCTCTGCACACTCCAGCACTCGTGCACGCGCGCGCACACACACACACACACACACACACAAGAACACATACATGCTCTCCTATGCCCCACCTGCCTGAATTGCCCTGGTCCCAAGGAGAACAGAAGCATGGTTCTTACCTGGCCAGGGTTAGCCTGAACCTCTTCCCCAGGCTGCTGGGCAGGGCGTCCCCCAGGATGGGACAGGGACCTTCCCTGGAGATAAGGACTTCAGACTTCACAGCCTTTGATGCCCCACATCCGCCCTCACTCTGCTAGGCGTCTGTTCCCATGTCCAAACTCAAACCACAGCTTTTCATTTCATA